AGTCTGTGGATTGGCTTAGGCCTTGGTGAGTGTGCCTGGCCCCTGGAACAGTGCTTTTCAAGGAGGTCTGACTTTTCCCTCTGGGGGCTTTTTGTCTGTAACCACTGTGGGGAAGAGAAGTGTGCTATAGGCATCCAGTAGGTAAAAATCAGAGATGATGCCGATCCTCCTGCAATGCTGTAATGCACAGCACACCCACCCATCACCCCAGCCTCCCAGCGAAGGACCTGCCTCAGGATGTCAGTGGTGCCAATGCTGAGAAACATGGCCCCAGAGGAGGCTGTGGGCATCAAAACAGAATCGGGGAGTGTAGCAAGAGAGAAGGGAATGGATGTTATGGAAGCAAGAACTACGTCCTTTGCCCATACATTTTCCCACTTCTGGGCCTTTGGAAGCCCTTTCCCGTGGAAAACTAAGTATATTTCATTTGCTCTCAATGTCCATTCAGGAAATTTGGAATAAGTCTTTTCCCTTTTACATTAAAAAGTGAATAAGAATGATAGTCTCTAAAGAAAAAATGAAAAAAAAATTTACGTGGGCACTGGGATATTCTGATTTTCCCGAATTAGCAGGTACTCTTGATTTCCTGGCTTTCGTATTTCTAGCTCGACCTGCAGCCTGTATAGTTATAAGGCCTGCCAAATAGTTTTCTCAAACTGTGTGCAGACACCCTGAAATGAAGTGCCTAAAAGATTTGCAGAGGACTGGATACGTTCTTGGAATCCATTGCATCATCTAGATGCAGGTCTTCTCTTGCTATTTTGATTTATTTCTTAGGGAAAGAAGAGGCTGGGAATCTGAAGTGCCTTTTCCTTTTGCAATCTGACTTCTTTTAGGTTCTGCTTGCGCAAAGATCCCCCATATTCTTCTAAGAGATTCACTTACTCTTTCAGGTTCCCACACTATTACTACTTCTCCAAACTACCCTTGTCGAGGTTATTAGTGAGGTCTCTTAGTTTTCCTATTAGCAGTATTCAATGCAGTAGAACCCTCCCTCTACCTTTAATCTTTCTTGGTTTTCAGCATGTCACAGTCTCCTTGGTTTTCCTCTTTCTTCAATACCTTTTCTGTTTCAGGCTCTCTGTTTTCTTCCAACTCTTTCCAGCTTTTAACTGGAATCCCCAATGCTATATTTTCTCCAGGAAAATAGCTAAAAAATAGAGTAAAAAATAAAGCAAATTAAAATGGTATGGTAGGGAATGTTTGTTTAATGCACAAGTCAATAAGTAATGGAGTAATACAGAAACGAAAAAGATATAAGGCATATAGAAAAGGATCCCCACAAAGAACGGCTGCTATCAAGAAATCAATCAATAACAAATGTTGGCAGGGTTGTGGGGAGAACGGAACCCTTCTCCATCGTTGGTGGGAGTGCAGACTGGTGCAACCACTATGGAAATCAATATGGAGATACCTTAAAGAGCTGGGACTAGTGGTTCCATTTGACCCAGCCATCCCTCTGCTGGGTATCTTTCCAAAAGAATTAAAAGAATCATACCACAGTGATATATGCACACCAATGTTTATAGTGGCACAGTTTGTAATAGCTAAATCTTGGAAACAGCCCATTTTCCCATCCGTTGGAAACTGGATAAAGAAGATGTGTTTATTCTATAAAATGGAATGCTACTCAGCCATAAAGAATGAGAAATTAGATTCATTCATAGGAAAATGGATACATATTGAAGATATACTCTTAAGTGAAATAAATAAGTCGCACATGTGTGAACACTGAATAGTTTCTCTGGTGTGAACAAACTATAATAGTACATAAATCCTAATGAGGTAATTGACCATGAGGAATAGGAAGAAAAGGGCTAAAGGTGTAGGGAAAGTGGGAAGGGTAGGGGAAAGGTAATAAGAGAAAAGAAAAAAATATGACAAAATGAAAAATTTTAAATAAAGTGTTTGTACATGGGGAGGGGAGGAGGGGGTGAAGGGAGGGCAGGGATATGGGGAAAAAATGAGAACCAAGACCTGTCATGTAAAGGTACATGATCCCAATAATGAATGTAATTGTACTGTATACCTTAAATGTACCAATAAACTCAATAAAAGGAAAAAAAAAGAGGATCAAACAGCTTAGATAAATCCTACCTTATTGGCAATTGCATTAAATATAAAGAGATTAAATACACTAATCAAAAGGCAAGGATTGGTGGAATGGATTACACAACCATGCTGTCTACGACAGATACATTTTAGATTCACAGGCAGAAGTATATTGAAAGTAAAAGATTGATAAAAGTGATCCCCTAATTATGGGAGCCAACACTTCAGAGTGCAGTTATCATCACATCTTTCTCCTGCTTAGGATCCTTGTGTGACTTTCACTACTCTTTAAATGATCAAAATCTACACATGACTTGCAGGACCCTCCTTCTCAGCTCTACCTGTGTCCCCATCCCTACCCATCAGTCTTCCAGCCTCGCTGGTTTCCCACCAGTTCTCCTGTGCTGACCACAGGAGGTGTTCACTGCATTTCTGCAGAGTTAGGGAGTGATTTCCTGGACAAACGAATGAGGGAGGGAATGGATGTTCTAGGTCTGGAATGCTGAGGAGCTCTGAAGCAAAGCTGGGTTGGAGGGCATGGTCTCCCTTTTGGTCCTGGTAGGGCTGTCCTTGGCAGCCCCTTTGCATGAGGAGGCTCTCTCTTGCTTTGAGCGTGTAAATATCATGCTTTGATGGAGAGAACCACAGCAGAGAGGCCCCAGTGTTCCCACACATCTGTCACTATCCATGTGACACCACAGAGTGAAAATAATCTCAACAAATTGCAAATTCATCTGTACCATCTGGTGTGAAGAGGAGTGGGTGTAAGTGTGATAGTTTCTGTTCCTCTTCTCTTTAGGGTGACACTCAGGGCAGGTGAGTGTCACTGAAGGAGTCTTGTGCCCCTTTATGGCACCAGGCCATAAATGAGAATGAGGGCTCAGGGACTGGGTGTAACAAGCTCTTCTCCTGATCTGGGCCACAGGAACAGTGGGTCGGGAAGGGCTGAAAGACCAGCTCTGGGATGAGGTGGGGTGGGGACAGGGAAAGGGTTCCTGTTGGTGGGAAGCTTTGAGTCCATGCTGAAGGAAAAACAGAACCTTCTTCCTCTGTGGGGCTTCTGTGCACAGTTTAAGGGCAAGGCTGGGTGGAGTCACGTGGACATTTAGAGTAACGCCCTTTACCAATATTCTTCAAAGTCTTGCTTCATGTTTATGTAGAAGTAGGCCTGAGACTCCAGTCCTACGTAGGGAAATGTGGAGGATGGCATCGATGTCAGTGCTCAGCCTCTTGACTCTAAAGCAGTTTAGCTCTGACCCCAGACACCCCGAGGAACACAACAAAAGTCCACAGCTCCTCAGGAGACAGCCGGATGCCCCTTCCCCAGAAATTGCCAACCACATTACGAAGCAGGACTCTCGAGGGCTGACGCTGGAACCCACCAGGCCTTCCCACACCACATGTGGCCTCCTGGGAGATGTTTTGGTGACTACAGAGTGTGCATCTGTCTTAGCTCACTTCTCATCTGTGCTCCTTCCCCAACCCTTGCCCTCCCTTCCTGTTCCTTGGAAGCTGCCAGCTAACCCCTGAGAGCACATGGGTACTCTTAACTTTTCCCTGGGCATTTTCTTGAGGCAATAAGTTGCCAGGTTCCTGAAATTTCAGGGCCGTCACTGTACTTAAAGGTCTTTGAGATTTAAGGCTGGTTTTCAACATTTTAAAACTTCTACCATATTATCACATTTCCAGTTGAAATGAGCACTTGCGCAAAGCATTTTCTGCTTGAAAATCTCCTTGCACCAATAGTCTGTAAGTAGAGGGGGTGCTTATTCTTGTTCCATTTTGGCACATGAGGATTCGAAGCTCCAGAGAGCCAAAAGACAGCCTAGAGCATATTACCACTGAGCACCTGAGGCGGTTTGAGCACACAGGCCTTTTGACCCCAGGTCCAATGTTCTTTTCTCTGCTTTTCAGAGTCTCTAGGTGTGCTCTTCTTGAATATTTTAGGGACTGTCTTAAATTTAGCACATTTAAAGCTGTTGTTTGAGTCTCTTCCACAGGCATATGTTAATAAATGGTTTAAAAATCTGGTAATGGATGGGAGCCAGATCCTAGAAGGCCTGGGGTACTTCAGTGGCTCTTGGTCTGGAAGAAGATCCCATGGTGACAAAGATTGTGATAAAGATCAGCACATCTCTTCTAGCAACAAGTTAGGAAGCTGTGATTTTTCTCCTTTTCTGTGAGTGCTGCGCTGTGTGTACTCTTGCAGGAAGGGACCTCAGCAAACTCTTGAGAGACTGGACCAGACATGGCCAAGAGAGGCAAATGTCCAGTGACTCCGTCACAGTTGCACATCGAATGTTCCTGATCCAAGATGACCTTCACAACCATCACAGTGTTACAGGCTGTGGTGACTACATTTCCTCAAACACAAAACTGGACCAAATAGCCCCAGAGGTGTGACTGGGTGATCAGGAAAGGAAAGCAACCTTTCAAATTTCTGAAAAAGCTGCAGATACAAATGCCCCTCCATCCCTCCCTGCCTGTGTGCATCCTGTGTATTTGGCAGGGTGAGTTAGCTGAAGCATAGGCACAAGTCCCAGCCTTGTGCTTAGGCTGCACTGGATTTCTTTCATGGACAACCTTCTGTTTCCCCCTTTCCGTCTCTCTTCATCTGACACAGGAACAGTGTTTTGAGGCTAGAGGTCTGGTTTACCCTTTGCTTTCCCTATCATCAAGAAACCTTCTCTAGACAGGTGACTTTGAGATCCACCTTCTTCTGGGAGGATAGGCAGGTGATACTGACTTCCCTTACTCAAATGACAAGAATCTGTTCAAGATTCTGGGGCCCCATTCTTAAGCAAAATTTTGAACAGAAGCTTCCTTTCCTTCTATGATTAGTGCAAAACTTATCCTTGATTTCTTTCTTCTTAAAAAAACCTATAAAATGTGGGAGATTGTGAGGAGTTTAAGGATCTTAAATAATACCATTTATTATTGTCCAGCAGATAAAGCAACAAGGCCAGCGGTGTCATTTACAAGTAACTCTTGATATGAAACCTGACTGATTCCTGGAGAAGCCATAACAAATAGAACCACTGTAAGTCAAATTCTCATTTTCTGTAAGCATCATCTTGTAAATTCTATTCCTTACCTTGGACTCTAATCTAATACTATAGAAATACCCAGAGTAATAACTCCCCAAAAAGAAAAAAAAGCAAAAACCAAATAAAATGCAGATATATACTTTTCCAAACATTTATAAAATGAAATTTCATAGAAAACCCAACAATGTTGCATGAGGGGATGCTTTTGTGTTTTGGACTGAAACCAACTGGCCAAAGCTTCTTAAAGTGTTTCCATGAAGTCTAGAATGAAGTTATCTTTTATGACATATCTCTCTATAAAAATGGCTTTCAACTGAGGGTAATTTTGCTCTCTACCTGAGATATTTGGGAATAAAATTTTTTATTATTGTAACTTGTTGAAGGTGGCGAAGTCCTCCTGGAATTCATTGGGTTGAGGTCAGAGGTGTTGGTAAACATTCTACATGTGCAGGATAGTGACCCACAACAGAGGGCTAATTGACAAAAATGTTAATAATACCACTGTCTTGAAAATGTGCTCTCTAGTGAGTATGGATGTTTAAAATTGAGTTAAAATTCAGGTCATTTTTGGAGAAAAGGAGGGGGTGTCTGTGTGTGAAGGGGTTGGTTGCAGACGAGATTTTCACGATTATCTCTCTGAGTCTTTAAATGGTCCTTGATGGAAGTCGGGGATGGGACCTGAGAGCGAGTAGCTCCACACTGCCTTCCTTCTTGAATGATTCCTGGTTTTCTTTGTCAGGAGGTCTACTGAGTTGCCTTAAGAAACAGCCCAGGTTGTCACTACTGGCAACTGTTTCAGTGTAGCTATGGTTATAAATAGGAGTTTTGGTTATTATTCGGTGAGTTTTATTTATGGGGCAAAAGTCATAAAATACGAGCGTGTGAGTCACAGATCAAGCCAGGTAATCCCAGCGTACTGACATGATACATACATTGCCTCCTGGCTCTTACTGTTTTTCTTGGCTCTTTAAATATTCTGTACAGCTAGCATATTGAATTTTCATAATTGCTATTGCATTTCTTGCTTGTTTCCCAGAAACCTCTAGAAGAGCTCACTGTTGTCATGAAAGGCAGACCCAAAGCTTTCATACACACACACTATGAAAGAATGCTCGGAGGCAAACTCTGATGGTAGTAAAGTTTATTTAAAGCATTAAAGGGCATTAATATAAAAAGTGTCAGCACCTTTTGGGACAGCACCACCCTTGGAGGATTCTATATAATTAGTCCTTTGAGAAGGTTCTGTTAGCTTTTGGATTGCAGAAGCTCCTTAATTGCCACTTTTCTTAGTGAAATGTGTTTGGGTTTAAAAAAGAAATTTCAACGTTGAAATGACAATGCTCATTCTAATTAATGGGTGTCTTTCCCTGTACATCTCTCTTCAGTTCCTCATGCACACATAAACATGTTTGGAAATTTTTCTCCATTCCATTTTAAAAACCTTTGATGTGAGGAGCCTTACTCACATGTACATTAAATGGAATATTCAGATTTGAAAACAGGGAGCTTGGTGAAAATGGGTGGAAAGGGGTGAGGCAAAAAGAGGATAAGTGCTAAATCCTTGTGTTAGAGTGTGAGGTCCCCGTCCAGAGGGGGGTCTTCAGGAAAAGAGCCAATTCTGTTTGGTTGACAGCCTCGTGCCATTGTGCTGGTTGATTTTACATGTCAACCTGCCTGCACCGTGCCATGCCCAGATGGAGCGTTATTTCTGTGTGTGTCTGTCAGGGTGTTCCTGGATGAGACTGGTGTTGGCTTTGCTGGACTGAAGAAGGAAGACTGCACTGAATCTATTGAATATGTGAATAGCATGAAAAACCTAGGAAGGTTTAATTTGCCTCTTATTTATTCCGGCCTGCCTGGTGAACTGAGATATTTTTCTTTTCTTAGACTTGGGTTCACAACATCAGCTCCCCTAATTCTCAAGCCTTTGGACTTGGCCAGCATTGTGTCACATTCCCGAGTTACCAGTTTGCAGATGGCAGATCATGGGACTTCTCTGCTTTCATGACCACCTGAGCCGCTTCCTCACTGCCGTCTGTCTGTCTGTCTGTCTGTCCGTTATCTATCAACCATCTATCTGTCTATATGTATCTCCTGTTGGTTCTGTTTCTCCAGAAAAGTGTAATACAAACTGGTACCAAACAAATTCCTGGTGCAGAATATAGATTTAATAACTGTATGGTGAAGAAATAAATAAGAGCATATCTTTTCAGAGAGAGAGAGAGAGAGAGAGGGAGGGAGGGAGGGAGGGAGATCAAGTCTCTTTAAGTGGAGTGGGAGTCCTTTTATCTTTTTTACCAGGCCAGCCCTGGGTCTGGTGTATAGTTGGCAGTCACTGAGCCTGGATGGTAAGGTGACTAAGGGACACACTGGAGCGTGGGTTTATGCATCCGGGACACAGCCTTTCTATAATTCCTCGAAAGCTTGGGCAACGGGGTATATTGTAGGTGTCACATGAGAAGAAAGTCACAGTACCTAAGGGCCCTCATTTTGTGGGGATGTTTTATTGCTGATTGGCAAAGTGGCCACTGTTGAGGCACAGGTCCCCAAGGCCACTGGGGGCATTATGGGACAGGACACGCTACTGGGTAATTGCACTGATTACTAATGCTGCTAACATTTCTCTTGCTTAATAATCCACTTTTAATTTTACCCATGGCAGTTCTTAGTTCCCACAACACAGCCATAATTAAATCTGTGTTCAGATGGTTGTAAATGCACCCAGAGGTCTTAAGCAATGGGTGAATTATACTCATTTAAGTTAGAATGTAATGCTAGCGTTCAGCTATCTCAGGAAAAATACTAATTACTGAAATTCCTTCAAGTTCCACTGGATCCCTTTAGTTCCCACTTGTATTTTCCAAATAGCACACCAGAGAAGATGCAGGTGGCAGGCTTTTTTCTCAGTATTGTAATAGTCACTCTGCTGCATTGTCTTCCTGAGGTGCACGTGTCCAGGGGGCTTGTTTAAAACATGATCAAGGGTCGCGGCTGGTTTTACAGGACTTTCCTGTCCTAACCTTCCAGAGGCCTTTTTTAAAAATTTAATGTTTTATTTCTTTAGGAAATGAGAAAAGAGAGCAGAAATGAAACACAGGGAAGCGGCTAAGGAATTGTTCTGCACAGCTCTGTTCTTGGACTCCTTCAGCAGGAGGTGGGCACGGTTTCCCACATGGCCCCAGGGCTGTGAGGAGCCTGATGGTGCCCAGGAAAAATGAGGAGGAATGGATGTTTTTGTTGCTGTTGTTTTATTTCCAGGGTTGAGATTCTGTCCCTCTTCTCAAGTACTCATTATTTTCCATTATAGAGAGAGAAATGGGGAAAATCTCTTTCTCTGCCTTGGAATTTCACAAATCTGGTTCTGCAGTAGTGGCATTTCATGCCCTTTGACTCTTGTTTGTGCCGATCCCTCCCCACGTTTTCTTAGGACAGGGTCCTTTGTCACAGGTCCTGGCTGGGTTGACCTCCTCCAGGTAAGCTCCTAAAAACCCCTCTCCACTCCTATAGGACGGGAGGTCGTCTGGGTTTAGGACTATGGTCCAGTTATCTTGATCCTTCCTGACTCTGCTGTGGACCTGAGCTTGATGGAAACTTCCCTCCTCCCCATCCTCCTGCAACGAATTGTTCCTTTTTTGAGGGCTTGCCTAATGTAACCTAAGAGTCAGATTTTGCCTTGCGCTGTGCACTAGAAGGGAGAAAATTAAAAAAAAATGTTTTCCAAGATGACCAAGTCTGAGAAGAGGTGGTCATGAGAGCCACCATCGGAGAGGCTGACTGTGACTTAGTAGGACCAGCTCCAAGTCAGAGTGACCAGGCCTGGCAGTGCAGGCAGGCAGGGAGGGAAGGCTTAGCAAGCTGGGTCTGTTGCACATTCTTAGCCAGGACCCATAGATGGCACTAGAGGTTTGGAGATCTGGCTGCCAGGGACGCTCCAGGGTTGAGAGAGCCAGGAGAGAAGGCAGGAGGGAGGGATGAGTCACTGTCTTGTGACTGAACAAAGTCTCAAAACCACAATGTGACCACGTTGGTGATTCTAGACAGGAGAGGCTGCCACCTGTCAGCAACCTTTCCTGATGGTTAAAACAAAGGGTGAGATGAAGAATCCATAGTTGGTGGGAGACAGAGAACAGTGAGGGGGGAAAAGGAAGGAGAGGAGAGGAGGAGCAGTTGCGGGGGGGCGGGGAGGATGAGGAGGGCAGAGATAGCAGGGCTATAGTGGGAGAACAGGGATAGGGTAGCCTAAGGACGTGGATAGAGGCGTAGGCCATTCGGAATGAGAAGAGCTTACCCAGGAGAATGGTGGGGAAGAGCCATTTGGGCAGAAGGGGCTGGCAACCACAGAGGAGAGGAGGTCCAGACAAAGGCAGGCCAGTCATGAAGAAGGCCGTGCCTCCATAGTCCCCCTCCACAGTCCCCATAGGACTCAGAGACGCACAGCATTCCTTCAGGATCTTTTATTAATGTATAGAAAATGTGTTTAAAAAAGGAACTATACAGAGGCTAAAAGCAACCAGGACTAAAAATACTAGTTAACAATGGTTAACAAGCAGAGATTCCAGTCTTTGAGCGAAAGTGCCATGAAAGGGTGGGGCAGGTTGGTTTTCCCTCTCCCTTGTTCTGTGTGGTTTTACTTTAGGTCATTAAAGTGTGCATCACCTGAGGAATTTGTAACCTTTTTTCCTTCCTTCCAGACTTTGTTTAAAGTAAGTGCTTTTTCAAGTATACTGTAGCTACAAAGTCAGTCTTTGTTATTATGATTATTATTATTTTTACCTGAAAAGACTGTTAAAGGTTAAAATGACAAACTCAAATTCAGCGGGATTGGAGGATTTGGTGTTTATGAGTTCTCAGAACAACAATTTAGATTCCACCAGGGTGAGTTTTCAGCTGCCTGAGCTTAAAGCCACACAACTTGTGTGTGGTACCTGGGAATTCCTGTGGGCCTGGAGGGGATTGAGGTTGGAACAGCTGGAAGTGTGTAATGATAGGAAGAACCTGCGCGTTAAGAACAGACTCATAGACTCTGACTCTTAGTGTGCGAGACTCGTAGTCTCTTAGTCTTCATCTGACTCTTGGCCTCAGAGGGTCAGGTGGGAAGGGGTCGGTACAGGAACGTTTAGTTGACTGACATTTTTGCAGGAACTGTGGTGTCTGCTGCCTGTAAGGTATGGTTGTCACCACTGACCGAGCAAGGGAGAGGGAAACCCTGGCCTGGAAGGGGATCACAAAGGCAGTGTTCTCTCTCTCTCTCTCTGATCCATTCTTCTTTATATAAGCATTAACAACAAAAAAAAAAAAAAAAAAAAAAAA